ATTTCGCTGATGTAGTTAGATTTCTAGATATCGCAACAAGAATGTATCGCTATTTTCGTATCTGTGAAAACATTGTTTGTCACATACAGAATTTATAGCAGTAATGTTCTAGCAATAGCTTCTGAAAAATATAGGTACCATTGCTAAATGTTATTCATTGCATGATCTAACACGTGATTGATCTTATATAGATAGGCGCTTTAGAGAAACTTTCTTTTTAAAGTTCACAAACAGTACAGATATATATTCTGTTTCTGTCATCTAAACTGATTAAGTAATTACATATGCAATATCACAACAGTTGCTAATTATTTATCTGTTTTAGTTAATTTTTTACACCTAGAAAATTTTAGCTATTATTGCAAGATCATTTTTTTGAGTGTACTATTAGAGATATACTATTTCTACATTGGTATATTTTACATTGGTATTATATATTTTAGTCTACACGTTTTGTTTATATGCGATATATGTACTGCTATATGCTTTGTCTTCTACAAATTTAATTGTTTGATTATTAATTCCCGTATTTAAGCTTACAACACTCAAAAAAATGATCTCGCAATAATAGCTAAAATTTTCTAGGTGTAAAAATTAACTAACCACACTTTAATAAAATTAAAATAATCGAAATTGTACTGCATTGTACTAGTTTTGTACCAAATTGTACCGTAGTTAATTTTTTGAAATCGCGCGCGAATTTCCAAAAAAATCGAAATTTTTGAATTTTTTGAGTAGCCCCACACTTTTCGAAAAATAATTTTTCTCGACTGTACTACATTGTACTAGTTGTACCGAACATTGTACCGTTTGAAAAAAATTCCTAACAAATTTAGATTTTGAGAAAAACGAGAAAATCGAAAAATTTTGGACTTACGTAAATACGGTAACTCGGCTATTTTTTAAGATATCGAAACGCGGCCAACGGGGTTCGAAAGAGAATCGTTTGTACCGGTTTGTACCGCTTTGAATTTCGTTTGCACCTCAACCGGACCGGAAGTACCAAATTTTGCAATTTTTAACAATACGTAAATACGGTAACTTGGCCATTTACAAGGCCTACCGAACATTGTTTCGTTCAAAAAAAAATTCATATCTGTAGGATCTAAAGTATCCGACTTGTCAGATCATACCGATCACACTCATGTTTTTACATAACGACGTAATGTTATAGTTCGGCGTTCATTTGATATTGAAATCAAAGCTGCGCCGTATTAAAGTCGCGCCGACCGAAAACAGCAGCGGCACTTCTTTAACGATATGAGCCTTTGTAACAAATGTATAAAAGGGCGAACCTAACGAGAACTCGCAGTAGTCGTCTTGAAATTCTCATAAAATGTACATCGTTTCCAAATAAAGCCTACATATCGAACGTGTATTTTGTGAGAAATAGTTAATTTCTGTGAATTGGTGTGTGACTATTCAAACAGCAAGAATTTAATTTTTTTACATAGTTTTTTTTTTCTTTCTAGCTTACGTGTCCATATGTGTTCATACATTGTCGAAAAATAAAAGGACAAACAATGAAACACATCCAACCATTATTGGACATAATTCTGTCCAAAGATTACAGGGACCTAATCGACGAACGAGGCTTACCTGCGGTACCAAAATGCGTTCTTTATGAAAAAATCTCGACGGAATTATCGAACAAGTTGAAGCCCAAATCGCTATAACATTTGGGACAAGATACGTCAATTTCATAACATTGGAAAGGATGTTTCAAATATTAATATTTCGAATACCGATGAGAACGATAATAAAATTTGCTTCAACCTAAAACGTGTTGAAGCCCAAATATATTTATATTATACTAAGCAAAATCGCTATAACATTTGGGACAAGATACTTCAATTTCATAACATTGGAAAGGATGTTTCAAATATTAATATTTCGAATACCGATGAGAACGATAATAAAATTTGCTTCAACCTAAAACGTGTTGAAGCTTCCATGGCAATGGTCAAAAAAAATATTATGCCAAGCATACTGCGTCGGAAAGAAGATGACAAAATAATGGATTTAGGTGATCCTGAACCTCCTCATTTGCCGAAATTGTCCGTGTTACGCAAAGCGAAAGAGGAAAGATGCAATATGAACTTAGGAGTATCGGTAACAGATCCTATACAAAGTATAGTGCAAATGAAGTATGAAGTTCACCAAGGATCGGTGCATTCCATAGGTATAGATCCTTTCTTCGTACATTACTGAACGACTGAACAGACAGCTGTGTACATTAAATATTTTGACAAAATATTTGTGTCCGGGTCATTAGTTGAAGAAATTAAAAAACTAAATGGAGAATTATCATCCCATATTTATCTTTATCAGATCGTAACCGAAACTCCCACGTCAAAAATGCCAGTATTTCAAATGCTAAGTTCTGTACAAAATACAAACATTATTCAATACTGGTTGTTCGAAATCCTCAGACTAGGGTTGAAGCACAAACAAAATTTTCCACTTCCACGGGAGGTTATTTGCGATTTTGACAAGACGCTGTTAGAAGCAATTGCGCGAGTATTTGGCCAATGTAAAAACTTGAAAGATTATCTAGCCCAATGTTTCCTGTGTATTACTGGTGATGTCAACGCGCTACCATCCACTTTCATAAGGCTCGATATATGTCACTATATGCATTTTGTTTCGCGGTGGAAGATACTGCAATCCATTAATCCGCGAGTAAAGAAATTTTATATAATAGTCATGGGACTGTTGACAAAGCAGCGGTGTTTCGAAGAATTCAAAACTTTAGTGAGATACACGTTAGTTTTATGCAACTCTGAAACGCATGGCCCTAACGAACAGGGATGTAACACGCTGGCTGAAGATGTCCGTACATATATGACCAATAAGATCCAAGGTCATGATGGTGCTTATGAAGAATTCGAAAAATATACCGATGGCAACGTGAGTAAATTCAATTCTGATGAAGAGAAATTGAATCTTGCTGAATTAGTTGACGACAATACAAACATCGTTTCTTGGGCACAGCAGTTCGTAAAAACATGTGTTGATGATATATCAAATGCATCCAGTGGAGTGGAAATAAGTCCATACTATTTACCACAAGTGAGCAAACATATCAGCGCCTTGTTACCGTTTTTTCCATTATACACGGGTCTAATGATACAACATTTTAAATTCGGAGAAATAAATGCTAGTTCTAGTTTCGTAGAGTTCGAATTCAACGACATAAAACATCGTTTGCTACGAAACGAAGCAAGACCTATGCGAGTTGACAAATTTTTAACTATCCATCTCAAATCATTTTCTGCATGAGCGAAATTGGCAGTTGCACCGACAGTAAATACAGAAAGCCCGATAATTTCGACAGCAAATAGAATTGATGACATCAAACCTTTAATTAAAAAATCTCAGGACTCGACAGATGACTTCAAACTAACAAAATGCATACTTGATAAGACCGCTCACGAAACACTTGCCGAAAGTGCTAACGATACTCTTGTCACGCGCTGTAATATCAATATAGACAGTAACGATCAGTATGAATTTGAATTTCAGTTTGAATTTTGTTTGCACCTCAACCGGACCGGAAGTACCGAATTTTGCAATTTTTAACAATACGTAAATACGGTAACTCGGCTGTTTTTTAAGATATCGAAACGCGGTCAACGGACCTAATTTTTTTGAAATTTTTTCTTATTTAAATAAAACGGTACAATGTTCGGTACAACTAGTACAATGTAGTACAGTCGAGAAAAAATCATTTTTCGAAAAGTGTGGGGCTACTCAAAAAATTCAAAAATTTCGATTTTTTGGAAATCTGCGCGTGATTTCAAAAAATTAACTACGTTACAATTTGGTACAAAACTAGTACAATGCAGTACAATTTCGATTATTTTAATTTTATTAAAGTGTGGGGCTAACTTCATACACATGCGACACTGGGCGCATAACATTAAAGAACTATAGTGTTAACTAACTAACGAATATAAAGTATATTAATTCTAACAAATATATAGAACCATTATTGGCAATACAAAGTTTGCCAGTCGGAATAATAACAACAACCTTCCATCAGTGTTGCCAGTATTAACTTTCATTGTTGATCCTGTACAAGCTAGTACGATGATTACGAGTAAATCGCAGTTACATGCGAACTTCGGGCAAATTAAACATGGATACCTCTTATTATATTATTTTCTTGTTACCAAGGGACCCATACTTTGCGCTTAGTCTTGCATGTTCGGATCTTCGTTTCTTAGCTTTTTTTCTAATAGCATCTAAATATCGATCTTCATCCAGATGTATCACAAAACTAATTACCTAAAACAAATTATTTCAATTATCAAAGAATGTAAATTTTTTTATACAGTTTGAGAGGGCATAATTTCTAAACGTTCAGCATATATTGGATCAAACATATTACATATGTAACAAATCAGATAAGAATAAGCTCAATTTTGAAAAATTATGAAATAAAAGTAATTTAATTAAAAAGATATACCTTTTGTATTTGGTGTACGTCATGTATATTCGTAATAATGACAATTAATGTTACAATTAAATCAACATCCCTATAAAATCAAAGTAATAGGTTTAATATATATACATAACTAATATTAATAAATACAAGAATATATGTTAACAAGAAAATATCATTACTTTTTTCCACACAATTTGAATTGGTTGCTTTCTAAACGTTTCAATAGAAAATCAAGCACTACATTGCTCTTTACATGCTTCGCAACAGTAAGAAGAAGTATATTAACACGCATGTCTTGTTCCTTGATAATAGATTTATCAATCAGTCCTATTGTTTGATTCAAATAAGTGGTTATAATAAAAGGATCTTCACAGCAAATCAAATAATTTAAAATTCTGTTATCAGACGTTTTCGTCCATTTTTCAAACGTATAGGTCCAAATAGTGTAGTTTGCTGACATCAAACCACTACAATATTTCCATTCTTTCCATGCGACACGACTGCAGAAAAAAAATATTTTTTTTACAAACAGATACAACAGCTTATGTTGTATATACTAATGACGAAATAACCAAGTATAACGTGATCATGCAATTTGTTTATATAAATGTCGTGGTTTTATAACAACTTACTTGTCTTGCACAGGATTTTGAAGATCTTTTATCAGTTGTAAAGTAGCTGCTTTTCTGCATTCAGTAACACCGAGGATACATGCCCATTTTGCGACTTCCTCTCTTAAACATATAGTAAGATCGATATGGTCTAAGTTTTCTTCGTATCCTATTATTTGCAGAGTTCCACTCAACATTTTTATCATATTTAGCTAAAAATTTGGTAGGTGATATGAATTTAATTTTATGTTATTTATAAAAAATATGATGTATGTATGGTGTAGATATACATATTTATTTAAATTTTTGTAAAGAGTGATTTAATACATAAATTTTTCTTATAGAAGTTAGTCATTTCCTACCGTTAAGCCCGTAGTATCATCTAACAAATAGGTACAAGCCATGTATTCAAAAACTTTAATCATAGGATACCATGCTATGTAATTCGTGTTATTTGATAGAAAGCTTGCGAGATTCCAAAACGTAGTAACACTGAGTTGTCTATTTTTTGAAGAAGTAAAACGCATCATCTATGATTTGGGCCTGATTGAGAGCATGTACTTCATAGTTCTCAGAGATTAAGCACTGCTCGAGTTTAAGCCAGCCCTCAGAATTATAATTAACACGATAATATCCTATTACACCAAAAAAAGATACTTTTATCAAATAAAGTATGTGATTGAATTTATTAAGATATACAATAACATCTTTTGTAATAAAATATTTTGAACACATTGCTTCAAATATATTAGATTTCTTCTAAATTATTAATAATTATTAATTTATTATTATTATGTTAGGTTTCTTCTAAATTATTAATAGTTCGATTGGTTTTGATGTCAGCTATTACAGTGCGACGCAAAAACATGTAATCCTTGTTTAAAAAAATATCATATCAATATAATTTTAAATTTTGAAAGATATAACTTTTAAAAAAATGTTTTGCTACTATAATATTTGTTCCTTCTAAACACATATTGTTTTTTCTGACATTTTTTTATATTATCAAAAACAAGTGAAATATTTAAAATGCTCAAGTTAGGTGAGACACCCTGTATAAACATAATTATTAGAATAAAAGTCAAAAATAATCTTAATTAGTAAAAAAAATAAGAAAGGCAAGATCAGAATGTTGTAAAATGTCAATTGTACAAAATGAAGATTGAGGCATAATAAATGTTTTTATATTTACCTCCTTGTTGTATATTGACCATGAGGCATTCATTTTGCGGAAACCCTCCAATGTTCTTTACTTTTTGCGGTGATAGCCAAAAAGCTCCCTCATTTGAATGCTCTAAATCAAAAGTTTCTATTAAAGCGCTTGTTAATTATTAAGAAGTTATTAACTAAAATAGTTTACAAAAAAGACGGCAATTTTTGAATATAATGCATATATATTATAACGTAATACTCTTTGCAAATTTTTTTATTTAAATGTGATATATTAAATGTATGGGAGGGAGAAGAGCTTTCTACTCTCTCCGCAAAATTTTGATTTATCCCACCTTTCTTCTGAGATGTATAAGAGTTATATTAGATTAAATTTTTCGATAAGGGGGTGCAGAGAGCAGAGCGGAGCCCATTTTCCACCACTTAATTTATCATATTTTAAGTAAAAGGATTATTGCAAAGATACAAATTTATAAACTTTTAATAATTTGAAATATCGAACGTGTTTGACGTAACCTTAAAGTAAAATTCCAAAAAATGGCAGTCAGAATTATCATATACATTGTTTGGCTGAATTTGTGTTTAAAAACAGATATTAGTATGATGAAAGTATCTATAAATTTTTTTACGTAATGGCTACGTTCTATCTTATTCATAAGTATCTTGATGTTAATATGTTATAAAATAAAGAAAAATTAAAAATATTGTAAAATATTATTGTAAATGTATACAGTATCATCTTGTTATTTTATTAAAAACTTTTTAATAAACAATAAGCGCCGATTAAAACCTTTTGAAGATACCTCAGGATTTTGACTTTGACAACATATGTCAGAAATCATTGGAGATAACATATGTCAGAAATCATACCTCTATAAAGTATAATTACCCAATAATTACCGAATATTTTTCCTGCATATGTCACTAATATGGGAAGTTGTTCCACGTTTTTGTCGATAACATCAGGGCTGAGATATGAGAATAACATCACATTACTCGTATTATTTCGTACTGCGTACAGTATAGGATAATTATTGTTCTTTATCCAAATATCGATATATTTTTTTACATTAAAGTTATATGGATTGTTAGTTAGATTTAAATTAGTTTGCATAACGTGCCATAAATCATCGGTCTTTTCCGCATTTGACTGATAATATCTGTAAAATGGAAATTTTTTTAAGAACACACCATGCAAATTTTTACTAGTTAACACAAAATTATTATTTAGTATATTAAAATATTAATTTACATATTTGTAATTAAATAGTTGTAATTAAATATACGTGAACAATATGTACATATATTTTTTCATTTGCCACGTCTTTCTAGTTTTATATTTAAAATGGATGAAATTTGCTCTCAATAAAATTGTAGACAAAGTTCACAATTTATCGAAATATTTTATTTGTTTATAATTACAGTTATGCTTTGTAATCTTAAACTTAAAATTATATTAATAAACTTTAAATTATGTAAAAAATAAGATTAAAAGAGAAAAACAGTTTAACAGTTTAATAAATTTAAAAAAGTTTGATTTTCAATATTTAGAAGTTATCAATATTATTTTTTGATATTAAAGAAAATTGTTATTTTTAAAAATGGACAATATGTTTGTTATTTTATAAATAATTCGATTAATTTGAAATGGTTATATTTATGATCTCCAATAGTAGCATTTAAAGAATGTAATTTTTGTTCAATATTCAATTTTGTTACGTAATCATTATATCATAAAATATTACTCACTTAGAAGCATACGTGTCGATACTATTGAAATACACATCTTTAGTTGGTAGATATCGTAATACACGCCATAAAATAGATGCTGTAACAATTAAAATTATGGAATACTTATTAAATACTTTAAAATGTTTTTTCATCGTATAATATATATAGAGTGTGCATACAAATAAATTTCTATTTTAATCGGTTTGTAGAGTTACATTTTTCCTTAATTTCTTTTAAAATTTATAAATTTATGTATAAATATTATGAATATTTTAAAATTATATTTATTTTGATTGTACATAGTTCCTTAAATATATTTATTTGAACTTACATTTTAAATGATTAAGAATAGCCTTAATTATTTGAACATCTAAGTCATTAATGTTGAGTAGTGTAGTGTTCGTATACGAAGGAATGTCAAAGTGTAAAGATTCCTGTTGTACTTGAACAACAAATAAATCCTCTAGGTAATATAGCGACGGAATCTGAAAAATTTGATAAGTTAAAACAAATATTTAAATGCATGATTTATTTGCATCATAAATATGAATTTAGAGCTGCTAATCGCTGCTATGGAATTTTTTATTATTATTATTATTATTATGAAATTTAAATTTGTAATATATTAATAATATATATATATATCAATAAGTATATGGGACAACCGTTCCCAAGATGTACGCTGCCAGATATGTAGTGAAACCTTCTATCGGCCATAACAGATCATGGTACCAAAGAGATACTATTTGACGCGCTAATAAGTTGACCACTTCAATTTTGCGTGCAACAGAATCTAATGTTCCAATGTAAGTAATATCTTCTTCCCTGAAAATGGTTTTCAAGTAATAAAATTACATTCTATAATTTTGCTAGAATAATGCAATTCAATATGTCTGCATAAGTATTAAATTAAGAAGAACTTTGAGATTTTCTATATTTTTGATGCAATAAATAATATTTGTAACATTTGTTTTATTTGATCAACGTAAAACGTACAATTGGGTTCCATACTTTACATATTAAAATCTAAATTAAAATCTGATTTGATGTAAAGAAGGATTTATGTTAGTTTCTTGTAAGAAAAAATAAAAGTAAAGATATTTTTTTATGTCATGTAAGTGATATACGACTTAATTGTTTCTAGTCGTCTACCTGAGATAAAAATATATATATTTTTAGTTCCAAAATATTATAGATTACTTTATTTCTTAAACTTGGTTTTAAATATGTTATCCTTAATAATGGATACTACCTATGTAAAATGAGTCCCAATGTCTCAATATTACTGTGTTGGACATCCCAAAATGCAACGTAATCAATTTTTTGTATTTTTATCACACTTCTTTCTTTTAAAAAACTCACGACTTGTTCCACAATGTTTAGTGCAAATAATACATGCTGTGTCGTGCTTTCTCTACACCAAATTGTGACATTTGTATGCCCAAAAGGAATTTTAGAGAATGTGGTTATCACAATTGTCAAATGTTGAACGGACATAAAAGGCGACTTGTAAAAATGTGTCCATTTCATGTTATTTTTATCAAGTTTTGTTGTTTTTATAAGCATATTTGATAGGGCTGTATACTTTTTATGATGTTTAATAGAAATAGTAAAGGTGGTCTTGAACGCTGGTTCATCCCAACATGGAACTATTTGTTGAGCTTTTAATATTTCAACACCATTTTCTTTTAATCTGTATTATTCAGAAAAAAGAATATGATTTATGGAAAGAAAGAAATATGATTTATATGAATTTTAATTAAATTTCGGCTGATAAATGATTATTTTAACTTACACCTTTTCTCCTTTTTCTTCATCGTATAAAGATCCAAGAAAGATTTCGTCATGAAATATGTTGCGGGCGTATATTATCTGCAAGGTATAGATTCCAGGAAATAAAACATTTTTTGGCGAATTGGTGAAATTGATATAAATGTACGTGCGATTAATAAGTGAATATTCTTCCACGTCAATTATCTCTTTGTCATTATTTTTAATCAAGTCAATTTTAAATATACCAAAATTTGCTGAAGGTACACTTATATTTTTCATTTCACGTGTAATGTTAATGGTTATATTGCATTCACCGAAAAGGACATTTCTGTTAAAGTCAAGTTCTATTTTGACATCATAATGCAATGGTACTAAACCAGTATAATTCAATGAATGGTAATTAACTTCAGAGTCACTATTTATGAATTGAGGAATAGAGAAAAATATTATCACGATAAATAATAATTTGATATTTAATGAAATATTTCTTAATGCCATACTAATTTCCGTTTAAAGTATCTGAAAAAAAATTTCATGAATAGTAAAAAACACATATTTGCGACAAACAGTACTTTACTTCTATATTATGAAAGGAAGCAAATAAAAAATAACGATTGTAGCTATTCATACTAAGATGTCGAAGTTTATATAAAAGGCACAAAACATGAAAAGATATCATCTTTGGTAATATTAAGAAAAGTGTAATTTGAATTGCTAGACATTACAAAGAACCTTACGGAAAACAATTTACCTAGCACACAATTTTTCATACATATAAAACTAGTGAAGTAAGAATATTTTTAAATTTATATAACAGCTGAAGAATTGAGAATAAAAAAAATTAATTAATAATAAAAGTAAAATACATTTTCTTAAGCAACGAAAATTTAACCCTAGCATACTTACTTGCATAAATGGGCTGTTAAAAAATTAAAATTTTTTTCCAAGCAAACATATGTTATAGGACCCAACGATTTAACAATCGACGAAAACAACTAAACAAAGCATTAAAATTTTTATTCATGCTAAAAAAAAAGGTGATTTTGGCCGAATTAATAAATTGAAATTGTGCACAGTTTTAATTAGAAATATTTTGTTTGTCGTTTACTTACTCACCTCGTTTCGTTACTCACCTTTATTTATGAAAATTGTTAACAAATAACACTTTGTAACAATAGTATTGCTAACACTATTTCGAATCACGAGAATCAAATTTAAATATAAACTGAATCGCGATCTTACTGTTTCGAATGATCTCTTCATACTAACAACAAGAAGGACCTTGGCAATTGATCATGCGGTCGTGTCTCTCGGCAAGTTCGTGCGTAGCGCAATGAAGGATTGATATAATAAACACATAATACACATAGCTTTCAAGAGGTCGTGAAATAAGAAACGTTTCGGTTATTACATAATCGGTTAATCTTGAGAATCTTTACAGAATACGAAAAATAAATTTTTAATTTGTGTTTAATTATTGTAATACAAAATTTGTTAAGAAATTATAATTCTAATGTAAAGTATAAAATTTTACATGTAAAAATTTAACATTTCTGCAGTCCATCAATTTATATAAAATTACAAATTTTTAGATGTGAGATTTGATTTAAGTCTATAAATTAAAGGAATTAATTTCTAGCTAAATAATTAATTATCAAGTTTATAAATTGTAAAAAATATTATGTACAGATTTTTTGAATAAAATAAAATTTGGAAATGTGTCAAGATTCAAAGAAGACAATTTCAATATTTTCTATAAAACACAAAAAAATGTAGCAAACACAAACCGTATAAATCACGTATAAAAATTAATGAAACTACTTAAGCAAAAGAACCTATGTTGTTTAGTTTTACCTTAAATGCAATATACTACTAACTTTCTTAAGATATGAAACAACGTACAGCGCGCATGAGATAGTCAATCAGCATCGCGGAAAAGCGATGAAAATTTACATACTCTTTTTGAGAGAGAATTTTAGTAGATATAAATATACAGTTCTTTTATTGTATATTTGCACAAAAGATGAGTAGTAATTTAATATGCGTGATAATTATTTCTCAAGTATAATTATTTTCAATGCTGCTATAATTTGGATGTACTTTGTATGTTACAGATTAACTTGTGAACAATTCTGCAGCATCGCATCGTGCCGGTAAGTCAAACCAACTTGTGTTATTTTAATATCATTAAGAAAATAGATTTCAAAATAATGTAAAGTATACAAAATGTCCCACACTAACAGTATTATTAGTTAGTCATAGATTTCTGAGATTTCTTATATTTCTACAATGAATGTAATGATACAAGAATCAATATGCGACGTGCCTAAGCGTGTGAATTTTTGGCAATCTGATTAATTATGTTTAAACACTTTCCATTTAAAAATTACTGTAGCCTCGACATTTTGCCATAAAAATTTTCATCTCTAAATGATAATAATAATTTATATTTCCTTTATTTATTCTATTTCTACATTGCTATAATTTTATCTATACGCTTTGTTTATATGGTATATACATGGCTATATGCTTTGCCTTTCACAAATTCAATTGTTTGACTTATTAATTTTTGCATTCAAGCTTACAACAAGCACAGAATTAAGCCCAATGTTGCAAGCCGGATTTGCAACACTGGCACAATACTGTGTACAGCAGTAAAGAAAACTTGTACAAACTAATTAACTAGTATAAAATATATTAATGTTAACTATTATATCGGGCTACTATTGGCGATATAAAGTCGGAATAATAACAACGTTCTGCCAGCGTTAAATGACAATACTGGCATTCAGCATTGGCCCAGTACTGGCTAGTACAACGGCCACGAGAAAATCATGGTTATCTGTCAATTCCGTGCGAATTGAATTTGGATTCATTATACTTTATTATACTTTATTGCGTAATAAAGGACCCACAGTTTTTGATTTGTTCTGCGTTCTCCAATATTCGTTTTGCAATTTTTTTTTTAACAGCATTAAAAAGGTATTCTTCCAGATTTCTCGTAAAATTAGTTACCTAAAACAAATTACAATATTTCGACAATATCAATGAATGTTTTTTATTATACAGTTTCAGAAAGCATAATTTGCTGCGTTCAACAGCAATTGAATCAGATATGTTACGTATCTAACAAAGATATGAATAAATCCAATATTAAAAAGTCATGAAATGAAAGTATTATTTGAATGAAAAAAGATATACCTCCTGTAATTGGTTTATGTCATGTATATTCGTAATAATGACAATTAATGTTACAATTAAATCAACATCCCTATAAAATCAAAGTAATAGGTTTAATATGCATAATTAATACTAATAAATATAAGAATATATGTTAACAAGAAAATATCATTACCTATTTCTACTGAATTTCAATTCTTTGTTTTTTAAACATTTTAATATAAAGTTAAGCACGACATTGTTCTTTATATGCTTCGCAACAGTAAGAAGAACTATATTAACACGTATGTCTTGTTCTTTGATAATAGATTTATCAGTCAGTCCTATTGTTTGATTCAAATAAGTGATAATAATAGAAAAATCATTACAGCAAGTCAAATAATCTAAAATTCTGTTATCAGATGTCGTCTCCCATCTTTGAAACGTATGGTTCCAAATGGTGTAGTTTGCTGACATCAAACCACTACAATATTTCCATTCTTTCCATGCGACACGACTGCAGAAAAAAAATATTTTTTTTACAAACAGATACAACAGCTTATGTTGTATATACTAATGACGAAATAATCAAGTATAACGTGATCATGCAATTTGTTTATATAAATGTCGTGCTTTTATAACAACTGACTTGTCTTGTACAGGACTTTGAAGATCTTTTATTAGTTGTAAAGTGGCTGCTTTTCTGCATTCTGCAACATCGAGAATACATGCCCATTTTGCGACTTCCTCTCTTAAACAATGAGTAAGAGTGCTTTCGTTCGTCATTTTAGTATATCCTATTACTTGCAGAACTCCATTTAATATAATTTTCATATTTTGCTAAAAATTTATACATAATATAAATTTTAAATCTATTGTTTTGTATAAAAAATATGATGTATATATATGTACACATATACATATTTATTTAATTTCTTTTTTTTATAGAGTATTTTAATACGTAACTTTTTCTTATAGAAGTTAATCATTACCTACCATTAGGCGTATTGCATTATTAAATGAACAGGTACAAGCCATGTATTCAAAAGCTTTAATCATAGGGTACCATGCTATATAATTCGTGTTATCTGATAGAAAGTTTGTGACATTCCAAAACATCGTATAACTGAGTAGTTTTTGTTTAAGGAAGTAAAACGCATCATCTATGATTTGGGCCTGATTGAGAGGATGTACAATATAATTTTTAGAGTTCAAGCACTGCACAAGTATAAGCCAGCCCTCAGTATTATAATTAACACGATAATATCCTATTATACAAAAAAAAAGATTCTTTTATCTATACAGTCTCCGATAGAATTTATCAAGAAATAGTTTCTAACATTGTTTGTTTCTAAATATTTTCTTAATTCATTTACTTTTTAGTAAAATATTTTAAACACTTTGTTTTAAATATGTTGCGTTTTATATAAATTATTAATAATGTTGTAATTTTTAATTATTATTTTATTAATCTTGGAGATTTAAGCTGCGATAAAAAGTTCACGGTTATTTAAAAAGCTGTGATTACATATACATACGAGGTTTTCCATCTAACTTGAGCATTTTAAGTATCTCACTTGTTGATAATACGAAAAAATGTTAGAGCAAAACAATATTTGTTTAGAAGGGGCAAATATTATGATATTAGGTCACATATAAGTCATATACATTACGATATTACAGGTCATTCAATTGGTTTTGATGTTAGTTATTTCATTGTGATAATAAAAGCATGTAAACCCGTTTGAAAAAAATATCAATAATCTTAAAATTCCGAAAAATATTACTTTAAAAAAAATTTATTGCTCATCATCAATATTAATCTTTTCCAAACAAATATTGTTTTCTTTCTGACATTTTTTGTATTATGAAAAGAAGTGAAGTATTTATAATGCTCAAGTTAGGTGGGACACCCTCTATACACATAATCATCAGTTTCGAATAAAAGCCAAAAATAATCTTAATTAACAGAAAATGGAAAAGTCAAAATCAAGATGTTGTAAAATCTTAGTTGCACAAAATAAAGATTGAGGGATAATAAATGTTTTATATTTACCGTTTTGTTCTATATTGACTATGAGGCAATCAGTTTGATGAAACCCAAGTTGCTCCGTTTTTATGCCTGATGATTCTAGCCAAAAATCTTTCTGATATGTATTCCCTAAGTTAAAAGTTTCCATTAAAGCGCTGTTGTTTATTAAAAAGTTATTAACTAAAAAAGTTTTTAAAATAGAACATAATTTTTGAACATTACATATATATTGTAACGTACTCTTTGCAGATTTGTTTTATTTAAGTAAATTAACTCTTTAAAGAGCCAAATTTTAGGGGAAAAAATATACCGAGTGGAGCCGATTTTTTGTGGAACTTGAAATTTCTTAAATGTGATGTTAAGATGATCTGTGTTATAAAAAAGTCAGAGAAAATAATAAAAAAATTTAGATAAAGTTATGTGATCAAAACAATCGGCAAGTACACTAACGTCATACGCTGGAGAATCATAAAATGGGCTTGAGAAACCAGGGAGAAAATATTTTTGAGTAGTCCAGTTTATAAATCACCACCACTAAAGAGTATTATATAGGGTAGTTAATTAGGGTATTTCAAACCGTGGCTTCTTAAAGAATTAAATGCATGAGTAAAATTCTATTCTAATAATTAAATCTTACTAACGTGTGAAAGACAAGTTTCAGTTAAAATTTCTGCAGTCTACAGTTCACAACAAGTCGACAATATCGCGTTTGACTGTTAAATTTTGTGAAGCTAGTAGTGTACAGGATCGAAAGAGCCCAGGCCGACCATCACTACTAACCGTGCAAGTTTTCGATGATGTAAAAGAGTTTTTTGTAATTTGTGTTTTCTGTCTAAGAAAAATAGTTCAAATATATGTTATCCGAAAGAGAGTTTCGCACGTTTGTAAGATTTATACGCGGTCTCAACAATAAACACACGTTCATCTTTAGAAAACGACATAGCTGACACAACACAAAGGAATGAATACTAAAATGATCAGGTCTTTTCAACTACATGTGTTAACCTTGAGTAGAGTTGTCGACTGACAAATAAAATTGACATAAAATTTACCCATGCGTAAATTCCACTTTCTTATTCCTAGGGTTGCATTTTTTTTAAACACCCAATATATGGTGTTATTTTGTTATTTTAGTAATAACTTTTTAATAAATAACAGGCCCCGGTTAGAATCTTTTAAGGGTTACTCAATAACTACTATTGTGACTTCAACAACATATGTCAGGATATATCACAGTTATTGGAGATGCATCCTCTATAAAGCATGATTACCATTTTTTTGTGTGGTAAATGTTACTAATACGGGAACTAGTTGCATGGTTTCGACAATATAATCAGAACTGAGATATGAGATTAATATCGTATCATTTGTATAACTTCGTTCCACGTACAGTACAGGATATAAATTATTCTTCATCCAAGTATCTATATATTTTGTTACATTAAACTGGCGTGATTCAGTACGCTTATTGACAGTATATTGCATTAACTGCCATAAATCTTCAGTCTGTTTTAAACGCCTATATCAGTAAAACAAAAATTTTTTTTAAGAACACACTGTGCAACTTTTTATGAATAAAGACAAAATTATTATTTAGTATATTAAAATGTTAATTTACATATTTGTATAATTAGGTGTACATAAACAGTAATACGTTAATTTTTGCATTTAAAAAGTCTTTCTTTAGTATTATTTAATTATTTTTTTTAGTATTATTTTATTTTAGTATTTTAGTATATTTTTAGTATATTATTTAGTATATTTACTTTAGTATTATTAAATTATATAATATTACTCACATAAAAAAATAAGCATGTGCGATGATACTCTCCCAAAAATATTCTTCACTTATGACATGTTGTAACACATGCAATAAAACGTATGCTGAAACAATTAAAATTATAAAATACTTATTAAATACTTTAAAACGTTTTTTAATCGTATAATATATATACTTAAACTTACGTTTGACATAATTAAGAAAAGTCTTTCTTATTTTCATTTCTAACTCATTAATATTGTATAGTTGAGGGTTTGTGTACGATGGAATGTCAACGCGTAAGGATTCTTGTTGTACTTGGACAACAAATAAATCATTTATGTAAGATAGCGACGGAATCTAAAAAATTTGATAAGTTAAAACAAATATTTAAATACATGGTATATTTGCATCATAAATATGAATTTAAAGCTGATAATCACTGCTATTGAATTTTTGATTGTTATTATTATGAAATATAAATTTATAATATATCAAGAATATATATATATCAATAAAAATATGGGACAACCTTTCCCAAGATGTGCGCTGTAAGATATGTAGTGAAACCTTCTATCGGCCATAACACATCATGGTACCAAACAGATATTATTTGGCGCGTTAATAAGTTAGCCACTTCAATTTTGTGTGTAATGGAATCTAATGTTTTACTGTAAGTAATATCTTCTTCCCTGAAAATGGTTTTCAAGTAATAAAATTACATTCCATAGTTTTGCTAGAATAATGCAATTCAATATGTCTGCATATTGTAGATATAATACATATTATTAGAAAATTAGATGGTCTCGAATGCTGACTTGTTAAATTATTTAATAAAAAGTTGTTAAATAAATATTTTAATACATCAGAAATTATTAAATAAACATTCAATAATTTTTGGTTAAAAATTTAAACATTGTTGAATTTCAATTTTATAACAAAAAGAAATAAAGTTACGCTTAAGAAACTTTTTGTTTTTCTATATATTTAATAATAAATGTGTTTTACTGTGTTTATAAAATAACATTATAATAAATGTGTGTTCATTTACATGGTCACACATACAGATTATTTTAGAAAAAAAAAGAAATATTTCTAACATTTTGAGATAAATAACATTATGAGTGAAAGACTGCATATGTATTAAGTTAAGAAAAACTTTGATGATTTTTTTCTATATTCCTGATGCAATAAATAATATTTACATTTGTTTTATTTGTAGACGTACATAAAACGTATAATTATTTTTCATACTTTAAAATATTGAAATCTGAATTAAAATCTAATTTGATGTAAAAAAAGATTATTAAATTATTAAAGAATTATTAAAGATTATTAATTATTAAATTATTAAAGAATTATTAAAGATTATTAATTTTTTTGTAAAAAATAAAAGTAAGAATTTTTTTCATGATGTCATGCAAGTGATGTATACGACTTAATTCTTTTGAATCGACTATCTGACATAAAAATATATATATTTTTAGTTCTCAAATATTATAGATAAGTTTATTTTTTAAACTTGGTTTTAAATGTTATCCTTAATTTTATACTACCTGTGTAAAATGAGTCCCATTCTCTCAATATTACTGTGTTGTTTATCCCAAATTACAACGTAATCTATTTTTTCTATTTTTGTTAAAGACTTTAATTGTAAAAATTTCACGACTTCTTGGACAACGTCTAGTGCAAATAATACATGCTTTATCATGTTTTTTCTGCACCAAATTGTGATATTTTTATACAAAGAAGAAATTTTAGTCAATGTGGTTATCACAATCGTTAAATGTTGAATGGACATAAAAGGCGACTTGTCAAAATGTGTCCACATCATGTTATTTTCATCATCATATTCTGTCATATTTATAAACATATTTGATAGGGCTGTGTACGTTTTATGATGCTTTATAGAAACAGTGAAGGTAGTCTCGAACGCTGATTCGTACCAACACGGAAATATTTGTTGGGCTCTTATTACCTCAACACCTGTTTCTATTAATCTGTTTTATTTTAAAATATTTATATAAAATTTGAATTATGTTTTAATAGAAAAATGATTATTTTAACTTACACTTTTTCCCCTCTTTCATCGTTAAAAGATCCGAGATCATTTTCGTCGTCAAATATGTTGCGGGTGTACATTAACTTTAAAATATACGTTCCAGGAGATAAAACACTTACTGACGAGTTAATGAAATCAATATAAATGTGCGTTTCATCGATAAATGCATATTGGGGCACGTTAATTATCTGACTATCATTACTGTTAATCATGTCAATTTTAAGTATAGCGTAATTTATTGAAGGTATACTTATATTTTTCATTTGACGTGTAATATTAATGGTTATATTGCATTCACCGAAAAGAACATTTCTTTCGAAGTCTAATTCTATTTTGACACCATAATGCAATGGTACTAAACTAGTATAATTCAACGAATGATAATTAACTTCAGTGTCACTGTTTATAAATTGAGGAATAGAGAAAAATATTATCACGATAAATATTAATTTGATATTTAATGTAATATTTCTTAATGCCATGCTAATTTTCGTTTAAAGTATCTGAAAAAAAATTAATAGTAAAAACACATACATATTTGCGACAAACAGTACTTTACATACTTCTATATTAGGAAAAGGAGCAAATATGATAACGATTGTAGCTATTCATATTAAGAGGTCGGATTTTATAAAAAAGGCACAAAACATAAAAAGATATCATTTCTGATAGTATTTAAAAAAAAAGATGATTTTGGCTAAATTAATAAATTGAAATTGTACACAGTTTTAATTAGAAATATTGTGATTGTGGTTACTCACCTATATATTTATGAAAATTATTAACAAAGAACGCTTTGTAACAATAGTACTAGTACAACAATAGTACTAGTACATAATAATACTAACATTAATTTGAATCGCGAGAATTAAATTTATATAAACCAAACTACGATCTTACTGTTTTGAGCAATCTCTTCATACTAATAATAAGAAGGATATTGGCAGTTGATCATGCGACACGTTCGGATCTTTCGGCAAGTTCGCACGTAGCACAACAAAGGATCGATATGCAAACACATAATGCCACACACATAGCTTCGAAGAAGTCGCGCAATACGAAACATTTTATTAATTCATTAAGAAGCGACAAAGCGCCAATTTTATTTTTTTTAACTATATTTACCAATATTATAGCTTTATGTGACTTGAACTTATGAAAACTGGGATAAATATTAGATTAAATAATTCTGCTATTTTATTTGTGAATGCACATTTTGTTCTGTGCGCATGAAATTGTTCTTTGAAAATAATAATTTGTATTATTTTTATTCTATTTCTACATTCCTACATTTTGAACGTGGATTTCTTTTATCTTATCATGAGGGACCCATACATTTTGTTTTGTCTTGAATACTCGACTCTTCGTTTCTTAGTTTGCTTTTTAACAACATCAAAAAATCGCCCGTCTTCCAGATATGTCGCAAAATTATTTATCTAAAACAAATTATTTCGACTATCAATAATTGTAAATTTTTTTCGCTATACAATTTGAGAGAGCATATATTGTTGCGTTCAGCGTCATTAAATCAAATAACTTACGTTTGTAACAAATGAGATATAAATAAGTTTAATATAAAATAGTCATGAAATGAAAATATTATTTGAATGAAAAAAGACATACCTTCTCTAATTGTTCTACGACATGTATATTTGTAATAATAACAATTAATGTTACAATTAAATCAACATCCCTATAAAATTAAAGTAATAGGTTTAATATACATAACTAATATTAATAAATACAAGAATATATGCAAACAGGGAAATATCATTACCTATTTCCACACAAATTGAATTGATTGCTTTCTAAACGTCTCAATAGAAAATCAAGCACTAAATGGTTCTTTACATGCTTTGCAATAGTAAGAAGAACTATATTAACACGCATGTTTTGTTCTTTGATAATAGATGTCAGTCCTATTATTTGATTCAAAAAAGTGGTTACAATAAAAGGATCTTTACAGCAAGTCAAATAATCTAAAATTCTGTTATCAGATGTCGTCTCCCATCTTTGAAACGTATGGTTCCAAATGGTGTAGTTTGCTGACATCAAACCACTACAATATTTCCATTCTTTCCATGCGACACGACTGCAGAAAAAAAATATTTTTTTACAAACAGATACAACAGCTTATGTTGTATATACTAATGACGAAATAATCAAGTATAACGTGATCATGCAATTTGTTTATATAAATGTCGTGGTTTTATAACAACTTACTTGTCTTGTACAGGACTTTGAAGATCTTTTATTAGTTGTAAAGTGGCTGCTTTTCTGCATTCTGCAACATCGAGAATACATGCCCATTTTGCGACTTCCTCTCTTAAACATTTAGTAAAAGTGCTTTCGTCCGGGTTTTCATTGTATCCTATTACTTGCAGAGTTTTATTCAATATGTTTATCATATTTAGCTAAAAATGTGGTAGGTGATATGAATTTTAATTCTATGTTATTTATAAAAAATATGATGTATGTATGGTGTACATATACATATTTATTTAAATTTTTGTAAAGAGTGATTTAATACATAAATTTTTCTTATAGAAATTCGTCATTACCTACCGTTACGTCCATAGTATCTAAAGAAAAGACACAAACCATGTATTCAAAAGCTTTAATCATAGGATACCATACTATATAATTCGTGTTATTTGATAGAAATCTTGCAAGATTCCAAAACGTGGTAATACTGAGTTGTCTATTTGTGAGAAAGTAAAACGCATCATCTATGATTTGGGCCTGATTGAGAGCATGTACTTTATAGTTCTCAGAGATTAAGCACTGCCCAAGTTTAAGCCAGCTTTCAGAATCATAATTAACACGATAATATCCTGTTATATCAGAAAAACATTCTTTTATGTATAGAATATCTGATAGCATTTATCCAGAAATAGTTTTTTACATTGTTTTTTTAAAAAATATTTTATCAAAACATGTAATCCTGTTTTAAAAATATCAATAACTTTAAAATCTCGAAAGATATAACTTTAAGAGGAATGTTTTGGAGAGGAATACTATAATATTTGTCCCTTCTAAACAAATATATATATATTGTTTTTTTCTGACATTTTTTTGTATCATCAAAAACAAGTGAGGTATATAAAATACTCAAGTTAGGGCCACCCTCTATGCACATAATTATCAGTTTCGAACAAAAGCCAAAAATAAGCTTAATTAGCAAAAATGGAAAAGACAAGCCCAGAATATTGTAAAATGTTAATTATACAAAATGAAGATTGAGACATAATAAATGTTTTATATTTACCACTTTGTTCTACATTGACTATGACACAACCATATTTCTCAAGTCCTCCAATAATACTTGTTTTTTGCGGTAATAGCCAAAATGCTCTCTTATGTGTTTGCCCTAAGTCAAAAGTTTACATTAAAGAGCTCGTTGTTTATTAAAAAGTTATTAACTAAAAAAGTTTACAAAAAAGATGGTAATTTTTGAACATAATGCATGTATATTATAACGTACTCTTTACATTTTTTTTATTTAAATGTGGTATATTAAATGCATAAGAAGGGGTGGAGCTTCGCTTTTGCATCTCTCTCCGTAAATCTATGCCATTCCTTTTTCGAAAAAGAAAATTACATTAGATTACTTACATTAGATTAGATTTTTCTATAAGGGGTACAGGGGGAAGAGCGGGGCCCCTCCTCCATCTGCGCATTTAATTTATCATATTTTAAATAAAAGAATTATTGCAAAGGCACAAATTTATAAACTTTTAATAATTTTAAATATCGAATGTGTCTGGCGTAACCGTTAAAGTAGAATTCTAAATTATGGTACTTATGGTAATCTGAATTATTATTATATATATTGCTTGACTGAATTTGTTTTTAAAAATAGATATCAGTATCATGAACGTATTTGAAAATTTTTTGACATAATGGCTACGTTCTATTCCCATTTATGAATATCTTGATGTTAATATGTTAGAAAATAAAGAAAAATTAAAAATGTTATTGTAAAACATTGTATATGTATATGATGTCATTTTGTTGTTTTATTAATAACTTTTTGATAAACAATAAACGCCAGTTAAAACCTTTTGTAGGTTACTCAGGATTTTAACTTCGACAACATGTCAGGAGTCATTGGAGCTGTACTTCCTATAGAGCATAATTACCGAACAATTTTGCCTTAAATGTTACTAATACGGGAAGTTGTTGTTCCACGTCTTTGTCATCAAAATCAGAACTTAGATATGTGAATAACATTGTATTATTCTTATTATTTCGTTCTGCGTATATTACAGGATAATAATTTGTTTTCGTCCAAATATCGATATACTTTTTTACATCAATGTATTGTGGAGAATTAGTCTGATTTAAATTAGTTTGCATAATGTGCCATAAATCATCGGTCTTTACCGACTGATTATATCTGTAAAATGGAAATTTTTTTAAGAACATACACGGTGCAAATTTTTACCAGTAAACGCAGAATTATTATTTAGTATATTAAAATATTAATTTACATATTTGTATAATTAGATATGCATAAAGAGTAATATGTATACTTTTTCATTAAGAACGTCTTCTAGTTTCATTGTCTATGGATTAAACTTGTTCTTAATAAAATTGTAGACAAAAATAATAATTTATTGAAACATATTTTTTTTTATAGAAACGGACAACATGTTATTTATTATTTTATAAATAAAAATAGTTTGATAATTCTAAAACGATCTTATATCCATGCTCTCTGACAGTAGAATTTAAAGATTGTAATGTTTGTCAAATATTCAATTTTATTACGTTTATTAAATTATTATATTATAGAATATTACTCACTTATAACAATACGTGCCGATATTTTTCCAAAATAGCGCTTCTCTATTTAGAAAACGTTGTAATATATGCCATAAAATGGGTGCTGTAACAATTAAAATTATAGAGTACTTATTAAACACTTTTAAGTATTTTTTAATAGTATATATCAGAGCTTGGCGCGATCTGCACATTTCGGTCGATTTTCGTAAGCTAATGCCTACCGGCTCCCCACTACGTCTTCAGACAACGCACGTGGGGCTTTGCCTCAGGTACGACGCATCTGTAACACGATGAGATTCGATGTCCCCTGACTGCCAAATATCAATGCTTTAAATTCGATCTTTAAAATCTTTTTCTTTTTAATAATTAATTCAATAACAAAGTTTCAAAATTCTCGATTATTACATTTACGATATAAGAATCCTAAAATATTATTAAATTATATTTGATAGATTGGATTTGTTAAATGTTCCAGAGACTCTTTCTAATTTATAAATTAATAAATAATTGTTAATTTAAATTGAATAAGACGTTTTTATTAAAAACGTCTTAGATCGTGTTTAAAGTATTGATATCTGGCAAGGAGCACGGAACCTCATCGTGTTACACATGCGTTGCTATTTTCTTATTTTTTTTTTTAATTTATAAATTTATGAATATTTTACAATTATATTTGTTTTGATCATACATAGTTCCTTAAACATATTTATTTGAACTTACGTTTGATATAATTAAGAAAAGCCTTATTTGTTTCAACACTTAAGTCATTATTGTTGTTTAGTGTAGTGTTTGTATACGATGGAATATCAAAACGAAAAGATTCCTGTTGTACTTGGACAATAAATAAATTATATATGTCAGATAGCAACGGAATCTGAAAAATTTGATAAGTTAAAACATAATATTTAAATTCATGGTTTATTTGCATGATAAATTTGAATTTAGAGCTGCTAATCGCTGCTATTGAATTATTGGTTGTTATTACAAAATTTATATTTGTAATATATTAATAATATATACATATATCAATAAGAATATGGGACAACCTTTCTCAAGATGTACGCTGTAAGATATGTAGTGAAACCTTCTATCGGCCATAACAGATCATAGTACCAAACAGATATTATTTGGCGCGTCACTAAGCTAGCCACTTCAATTTTGTATGAAATAGAATCTAATTCCTCATCAACAGTAATATCTTCTCCTCTGAAAATGATTTTCAAGTGATAGAATTACACCGCATTTCATAATTTTGCTAGAATAATGCTATTCAATAAGTCTCTACATTGTAGACATAATTCAAATTATTACAAAATTAAGTATCTATATATATATATATAATATATATATATATATATATATATATATATATATATATATATATATATATATATATATATATATAT